TCGCTGGGCCCCTCAGTGACCACACAGTGAGGTCTGTGGCTTAGACCCGAATGGAACCAAGTGGCCCAAACTGGGGCTCCTTTACAGCAGGGGTCCTGGCGAGCTGAAGGGCGGTGGGAAGGCCGGAGGCCCCAGGCCGGCGCCCCGACACCTCCATTAACTGTGTGGCCGGGCGCCCGTGGCTCCGGCCACCCGGTAACAGGATGGCTCCCCAGGCACCTGCCCCAGAGGTTGGCTAACACTCTGGCCTCTTGAGGGAGGGCTCTGCCTCCCTTTACCTTCCAGTGACTCCCTAGTAAATGGAATCGGAAAGACATCACCTGCCTGAGACAGTTCCAGTTAGTACCTTGAGGCCCTGGCTACAAACCGTTTTTTTTAAATGTTTATTTATTTTTTAGAGAGAGAGAGAGAGGAGGGGACGAGAAAGGGGGGACACAGGATCAGAAGCAGGCTCCAAACTGTCGGCGCAGAGCCTGATGCGGGGCTTGAACTCACAGACCGTGGGTTGAGGCTTAATGGACTGAGCCACCCAGGTGCCCCCACCCCCGCCCCCGTACAGACTCCTCAGGGCTCACCCTGTCCACACCCGGAGCGGGCTGGGGGCCACCGGGCTCTGTCCGGCTCCGTCACGTGCGGGGTGCTGGTCCCCGGCATTGGAGACGGTTCACGTTTCCAAAAGCCAGACAGCAGCTCCCCGGCATTTTCACGTCAGGAATGAACGTTTCTCCGGAACCCCTTCCATTCCCCCCATTACACGGAAGACGTGGGACCCTCTTGGGACCTAAATTTGCAAGGTTTCTCTATAAATGAGGGGAAGGAAAGAAAAATTTGCGTGGATCTTAGGTCGCTGTGCCGGGCGCTGCGGCGGCGGTGGGGGGGGCGGTGCAGGATAAGGTGTTAGTCGGGATTCGAAGGCAGACGTTGTGTTTTGGCTGCTTTGTTTTTAACTCTCCAGGGACAGCCGGGGCCCAGCTGGAATAGGCCCAACTCGCTGGAGAAGGAAAACAAAATCATTCAACGGTGCTGCCCTTTAAAGGCCATTTTAATGACAAAACACGGCGCATATCACCAAGAATTCTTAAGACTGAAAAACCTCCTGTCTTCTGAGTCTTTTTCATGAAAATTGGGGGTTGGGGGGGCGGGGACAACAGTCTCTAGCTTTATTCTTGCAACAGAAAAAGAAAAACACACACAAGCCACCAAACAATGTGCTGTTTGTTGTTCCCCAGGGGTTTTTTGAATAAAGTGGCCTGGAAGGCCTGCCAGGCGGTTTTTGGGGGGGGGCCGATTTTAGTCCCCGCTAACTCCCTAGAGAAGCAATCAGGGGCCCTCACAGGAGCCCAGGTGGCCTCCCAGGGGGCGGGTGCTCCCCTCCTCTGCTGTGTGCACCCCTCCGTGGGCCGTGTCTCTCTTTGCCCACCGACCCGGCCTCCACTCCCCCCTCCGCCCTCCCTGAGCCCCGAGCTCTGGCGCCACCGCAGCTGGTCTATTTTATTTGAAAAAATGTTTTTCATGTTAAGTTATTTTTGAGAGAGAGCATGACGGCAGGCAGGGAGGGAGAGAGAGGGTCTGAAGCAGGCTCTGCGCTGACAGCATTGAGCCCGATGCGGGGCTCAAACTCAAGTGAGATCACGACCTGAGCTTAACCGGCTGAGCCAGGCAGGCACCCCTCAAAGTAACAATTCTAAAGTGCCTCGTTCAGTGCAATTAGAATATTATAATGTTAGACAACGACCACCTCAATGTACTTCTAAAACGTTTCACCACCTCAATAGGAAACCCCATCCCTATTAATTAATCAGTTGCTCCATACGTCCGCCCCAGCCCGGTCAGCCCATCCGCATTGCGTCTGCCAGTTCACCTACTGTGGATATTTTAAAGAAGTGTAATCATAACATGTGTGACATTTTGTGTCCAACACAGAATTCTTTACGTGATGCAATGATTTTAAAGTTCATCCACACTGTAGCATGTATCAGAACTTCTTTTTTTTTTTTTAATGCTTATTTATTTTTGAGAGGCAGAGAGCAGGGGAGGGGCAGAGAGAGAGGGAGTCACAGAATCCAAAGCAGCTCCAGGCTCCGAGCTGTCAACACAGAGCCCGACTCAGGGCTCTAACTCATGATCTGCGAGATCATGACCTGAGCCAAAGTCAGACACTTAACTCACTGAGTCATCCAGATGCCCCAGAATTTATTTCATTTTTTTATGGTTAATATTTTATTGTATGTTGAGACCATAATTTGTGCGTTCATTCCTCCACTGATGGATGTTTGAGCTGTTTCCATCTCTTGGCTGTTGGGATAGTACTATGTATGTGCACGTACATCTAGGAGTTTAAGCACCTGCTTTCAGTTTTGAGGGGCATTTACCTAGGAGTGGAATTGCCGGGTATTGGTAAGTCTACGTTGAACATTTTGAGGAACCACGGAACTGCTTTCCACATGGCTGAACACTTTCACCTTCCCAGCAGCAATATATGAGGGTTTGACTTTCTCTATATCCTCACTAACACTTGTTATTTTTCTTTTCTATTTTTTAGAGTTTATTTATTTTGAGGGAGGGAAAGACAGTGGGGGAGGGGCAGAGAGAGAGAGAGAGATACAGAATCTGAAGCAGGCTCCAGGCTCCAAGCTAGCTGTCAGCACAGAGCCCGACGTGGGGCTCGTTCCCATGAACCATGAGATCATGACCTGGTCCTAAAGCAAAAGTCAGATGCTCAACTGACTGAGCCACCCAGGCACCTCTCTTGCTCTAGTTTACATTGGATTCCGTCCTGCCAGAAAGCGGGATCCTCGCTCTAGCATGGAAATTAGTAGGCACTCAGGAGCACCCTATGTGTTTGCATTTTTACAAACCACATACAGTGTAATACTTAGAATTATACTAAATATATAGGCTGATAACGCCTGATTAGGCTAAATAACTATGGAAACAGGAGTCATTTTCTTTAAAAAAATGTTTTGTTGGGGCGCCTGGGTGGCTTAGTCGGTTAAGTGTCCGACTTTCGCTTAGGTGATGATCTCGCGGTTCGTGGGTTCGAGCCCCGCGTCGGGCTCTTTGCTGACTGCCAGCTCAGAACCTGGAGCCTGTTTCAGTCTGTGACTCCCTCTCTCTCTGACCCTCCCCTGTTCACTCTGTCTCTCTCTCTCTCCTAGAAATAAATAAAAATATTTAAAAAAAAAAAAGTTTTGTTGTTGTTAATGTTTATTTATTTATTTATTTATTTTAAATGTCTTTTTTTTTTTTATTTCTAGGAGAGAGAGAGAGAGAGACAGCGTGAGCAGGGGANATTTTATATTAATCCTATAGGCTACTGCTATAACAAACAACCCCATATCTCTGTAAATTACCAGTACAGAGGTTACTTTGTATAGCTCATTTTTTTTTTAATATTTTAATTTATTTCTAGGGGAGAGAGAGAGAGAGAGAGAAGCGTGAGCAGGGGAGGGTCAGAGAGAGGGGGAGTCACAGACCGAAACAGGCTCCAGGCTCCGAGCTGGCAGTCAGCACAGAGCCCGACGCGGGGCTCGAACCCACGAACTGCGAGATCATGACCTAAGCGAAAGTCGGACGCTTAACCGACTAAGCCACCCAGGCGCCCCAATGTTTATTTATTTGAGAGAAAGAGGGACAGAGCGTGAGCAGGGGAGGGGCAGAGAGAGGGAGACGCAGAATGTGAAGCAGGCTCCAGGCTCTGAGCTGTCAGCACAGAGCCCGACGCGGGGCTCGAACCCACGAACCAGATCATGACCTGAGCTGAAGTTGGATGCTTAACCGACTGAGCCACCCAGGCACCCCAGGAGTCAATTTCTGTGTTTATTATTCCATCGAGTCACACCATTTCTTCCTACAGGTGCTTTCATGGGTCTGGATCCTGGCACTGGAATGGGGAGCTGTGAGTGAGCTCAGTCCCCAAGAGGCCACAGCACCGGGTGGTAAGGAAATGCAGCAGGATGCCCTTCCTTCTGCCGTTAGTGTGTCTACTCCCGCCGGGTGTCCCCGAAGCCCAAGCTGGGCGTCCATCACTCTGAAAGGCCACTACTCAAGAGACAATGTCCACTGGAAAGGAAAACAAGCTTTACTCTGGAGGCCGGCCACCCGGGGCGAAGGCTGACTCTCGTCCAAAGGCCAGCTCCCGGGTTTCTGCCCGGCCCAGAGATTTTTAAAGGGGTTGAATCAGTTAAGGGAGTGCAGCGGTCAGTGACATGTCTTGACTACGTGCAGATAATGACGTCAGCTATGGAGTTACCTCCTGCTCTGAGGCTGTGCGAGGTCTAGTTCCCTGGTGCCTGGGGCGGGGGAGGGGGAGGTTGGACAGGTTGTGCAAGGAGGTCTGGTTCCTCGTACCCAAGGGCTGTGCTGAGTGCTCTGTTCTTGCCGCCAGGGATCTAAGTCTACAGATGTGCAAAGGGAGGTCGGCAAGGTCATGTGCATGACCTCAAAAAAGAAAAACATTTTTTGCTAACAGATCACTGGGCTGATCCGAAGGCCAACGTGGATTCGAGCCGACCTGCTGGGCTGGGGGCCTGGGGTTGTTTCGGTCCTCAGTCCCCAAGGCCAGCGATCTGCAATTCCCAAAGAAAGCGAATGAGTTCTGTTACAGATCCAGGGCCTTAAGTCAGCGAGCAAGGGGTGTGTTCCCTTGAAGCAAGTGAACCCTTAAGGGCCGCCACAGGGCTGCTAGAAATCCCCACGTCAGTCTCCCCATTCCGTAACCACGGGATTTGGGGTGACGGTCTGTCTTCTGTAGCTGCTTCCTGCTGACCGGATGACGCAGGGATCTGGGAGTGGAAGACTGTGACGGAGTGGGAGGGTCACATTTCCTGCTCTGAGGGGGACAGTGAGGACACCTCCAAGCCACTACCCATGGCACGAACTCCTGCTTGACAGATGGAAAAAGTCCCACCCCAACCAAGGAGAAGGGGAACGAGAAACACAGCCATGCTTAACAGGGTACGTTTCCTTTCGGAAGGAATTGAATGCAACCAGCTGCTATATGAATTTAGAGCATCTACAGCTGTGCTACGTTTATGTGAATTTTTCATGACTTCTGTTACATCTTTCAGATAATTTGGAACATAGATGGCGCTCTGTTTTAATGAGAGTATTACAATGTGCCCCCTTCAGAGACAGTCAGGATACCAAGGGCCATTTGGTTTTGGAGAGCCACCTTCCAAATTCGGGGGTGACTCTGTCAGATTTGGTTAAACGTGACTGCTGTATGTTTGTAATTTTACATAATGGAGGCAGTTCCGGGGACGAAGATGGCTAAGAGATAAAACCACCACGAAGCCCTCTCTGTTTGATGTCCACCCTTAACAATACCCCAATTATGAGGAATCTCTGGCAAGTGGAAGACGATGTCTGGGCATATGGGCATCCCCAAGGGCATCATCCAGTCCAACCATAAGGAAAGTGGGACCATCCGCAATTTCCACAAATCCCTTGTTAACCCAGTGGAGTGAGGTACACTCTGGCTTTTAAGTGATTTTGTCATCGTGGCCACATCGATGGTCGAGGCGATAGTTGAGTTACACAGTTGTCGGGAGGCCATCCTATCGTTCACCTGGTCAAGCCATCACATGCCCGTGGGGGCTGTCGTCGTCCCCACAGAGCAACCCGCGCAAAGACTGTCTGTATGTGAGCTACGGCGGCCACTTCTCTGAAGTCTACCTCAAGTTGTCTAGCTTCGGGAAACCAGCATTCAAAGAGAGTTAATCTAACCAAGAATTTCACATCCACGGAAGTGTGTGATTAAAACATGATAATAATCACCCTCATTTCCAAAGATAGCCAAATTAAGATAAATTCATTTGAAAAGTCCAATTTTAACAGACGTGGCTTAATTATCTATATAAGCTCAGCAAGGACAGTGGCTAACCCTATAGATTCTTTAAAACTTGTTTTGCTGGAATCTCCAGATTGAACTTTTACTAGATTCTTGAGGCCAAAAGCCCAAGCCAAATATTTGTCATCAGACAGGCCTGCAATACCTGTAGATTTGGGCAAATCCCTGTTCTTGAGGTCCCCGAATATCCTGAGGTTTCTGCACGTGCCAGGAAGCGACATCCTTTACTCACCTGGGGAGGCTTCTGGGCGCTCTGGAAGGAAGGTATCAGGCCAACATTTCCAAGGGGCTCTATTGGCCCTTCTCTTCATAAAGTCAACCTGAGTTCCTTAAAGCTGTCTGGTCCCATCTGATTCTACGCACGCCTCTCTCAAATGCGACATTCCCGTCAAGGCCTTGATAAAGTAACCAACGTTCCCCAGGTGTCCTGTTGCAAGGAGAACAAATTCTTCTTGGACTCACGCAAGTAACTACAACCACCATGAAAGAAGAAAACTGTTCCTAAAACAGTTACAGCGTTTACCCGTACAATGTAACCCCAGGTCTATCATCATTTGGTTGACAATGCTTCCCATGTCATTTAACATATCAAATAAACAAGTTCAATGAGTCAGAAAGATTTCATTTAGAATTTGAATCTTGGGAATTTTGTTTAAAAAACAAAACACAAAGGAGGTGGTGGCAATCTGGCTATGATACCTGTCACCGCATCCATCAGCAGGGTTGATTTGGCTGAACTGGGGGACTGGCTGCGGGGGGTGGAAGGGGGTCCTCTTCCTTCCTCACCATTCCATGTGCCTCCCTCCCAAAGCTGCTCGCTCGCTCGCTCTCTCTCTCTCTCTCTCCCTCTCTCTCTCTCGGTGGAAGAAGATGATCTCTCTTCCCCGAGGGAGGAGGACCTTTCTTTGGCCGAGGGTATACTAGCTGCGCTCCCCTGTTCTAACCTCCAAATACACACTCAAGGTCCATTTGTAGGAGAACGTAGGGTGACCCAGCTTCCAGGACTGCAGACACATTCAGAGTGGCAGCCTGCCTTTCTTTAAATAAATGAGTAAAACCTCAGAAAGTTATAAAGCGCATGCCTATGTAGGATTGCAGATCGTTGCAAACCTTATTACTTAATGCCTTGTTTAACCAAAGTAGCAAAAGAGATTCCAAAGGCAAATACGTAGTGTTATATAGTTGTTCGTAAAACTTATCTCCTTGAGGGGTGTCTGGGGGGCTCAGTCGGTTAAGCGTCCAACTCTTGATTTCGGTTCAGGTCATGATCTCACAGTTCGTGGGATGGAGCCCCGCGTCGGGCTCTGTGCTGACAGCACAGGGTCAGCTTGGGATTGTCTCTCTCCCTCTCCCTCTGCCCCTCCTACGCACGCTCTCTAAATAAATAAATAAATACGTCAATAAATAAATACATCAATAAATGTACTAAGAAAAACCCCTTAGCTCCTTTAATGCTGAGAACTTTTAGTTCTCTTTAGTAACCAAAAATCCAATAAAGATAAACATAGAAACTTTGGTTTTCCAGGCAAGGAAAAGGGAAAAGCTTTGTTTACAATTTCTTACCAAGTGCAAATCAACAGTCCAAGATCGCTTTGTCTTTTGGACAGAGAGAAAAGCTGAATTTTAATTCCCTACCTACCAGTGGACTTTTAAAAGCCATTTGTTTCCATCTTAGTCCTGACCACACGTAAAATTCTTTTCTAAGGCTTTCCCTTTAAAAGATTTCTACAACTTTCTTTTGCATTCAGATTTTGTTCTAAGCCTTCTCCCTAAATAACCGGTCTCATTTTAGGACAAAATTACTTCCTTTTACCTCAACAAAAATGTACTCTCATTTCTTATTCCTTTCTTACATATCTCCTATTTTCTTATCATTTCCACCAGGCTTCACTACACTCATCAGAATTTTAATTCTTGGAAACCTTAGTCTCCAGTGAAAACTAAGTAGTAACCAGTTGTGGCGTGTCTGTTATACCAGGATTCTTTAGTTGGCAAATTTATGAATATGTTTCATAGTTTTTAGGAAGATGCATTTTTCATAGTATGATCTTTCAGAGAGGCCCCAAGCATCTTTCGTTTCTCTGCAATAAGAAGTCAAAAGCAGATAATTCTTATGTTTAATCATTGTTTCAGTATTTTAAAGACTTAGCTATCCAGTGAATTCAACCCAATTTATAATTCAGAAAAATTTCCAAGTTTCAGGTTGCCAAAGATTGTGAAAACTATTTTAACAAGTACCCAGGAGAACTTTATGAGACAGACACAACTGACCATCATTTTAAGCCACCTTTTGCTGACAAATCGCAATAGAAATAACGTGAGCTTATTTGACTTTTAGTAATCCTTGGTAGGATAAAGGTTTTTTATCCAATGCCAATAACTCTAAGGGCATGTCTATTTCAGTGAAACTAACAACCTTGAATTAGCTTTACTATCAAATATGTTGCACCTCATCCCTTACAAAGTCAGTCCATTTGTTCCCACTGTCAATTGTATTTGGGGCACCTGTGGGGAGAGCTGGTGGTTTCAGTCTGGGGGAGCCCCTGGGACCCTTCGTGCTGACGTGGGAGGTGCCTCAGTTTGAACCTTACAAGGAAGTGGCCCAACAGCTTGCGGGCTCTCTGCTCCTCGACAGTGAGAGTGGGAGGGTCAGGAGCAGACCGACTACTGGTCCATATTCTCTGTTTCCTGTGTCTCTTCCTGCAAAACAGGCTTTTCCTCCGATTGCTTTCCAGCTCTCTGCACCGTTTCTTTGACATATGTCCTAACAGACTTTCTTTGGGAACCAAAAGTGTATCCCCATCTTCCTGGGCAAAGCTCAGAACGAACACAGAGGACCCAGAATTGTGACCTGATGCAGCTGTTAGCATTTGCCCTCCCCCCAAAGTTGGGGTGGGGGTGTTTCACCCATGGATGTACATAGGCCAGGTAGTGTTATGGTAAAAAGTGGTCATCGTTTTCTTAGTCCCGGGCTTTGGGTTGTATTCTTTCCCTTTGTTCAAAATATGGCCCGATGGGCTGTTTGGTGGGACAGAGACACAGCTCCCATTGTACACAGACTTACCACAACACACAACACCGCCCACACACACCAAAACAGGTCTGCTCCAAATCCCAAGTATGGCCGCTCCTCCGACCGACTTACCTGGTCCAGAAGCAGCCTCCCCAAAGGCTCCTTTCCTGTCCCTCCAATTGAAAGGCGACACTGGCAGTTGGTGTCCGCTTGGGACGAGCAGGGAGTTTCCTCGAGACAAACACAGCTGAGGGGCCGGTCCCTCCAGGCTCCCTTCCAAGGCCAACGAAGCCCCGGCTTGTCTCCTGTGACCGTCACAGCATCACAGCGACTAGCCTGGAAGCAAAGAGTGTGCCCTGGCTTGCGGCCGGGCCTTCTGCCTCCTCTGCACAGGCCCCAGCCTGCTCGCCCTGCAGCCTGCCTCGCCCACTTTGTCACCGAAGCCCATGTCCCGCTGCCTGTCGCTCCAACAGCCGCTACTCGAGACAGTGTCAACTGGAAAGGGAAACAAGCTTTACTCCGGAGGCCGGCCACCCGGGGAGAAGGCTGACTCTCGTCCAAAGACCAGCTCCCAGGTTTCTGCCCGGCCCAGAGATTTTTAAAGGGGTTGAATCAGTTAAGGGACTGCAGCGGTCAGTGACATGTCTTGACTACGTGCAGATAATGACGTCAGCTATGGAGTTACCTCCTGCTCCTAGGCTGTGCGAGGTCTAGTTCCTTGGTGCCTGGGGTGGCGGGGTGAGGGTGGGGGGTGCAGGAGAGGGGGAGGTTGGGCGGGTTGTGCAAGGAGGTCTAGTTCCTCGGCGCCCAAGGGCTGTGCTGAGTGCTCTGTTCTTGCCGCCAGGGATCTAAGTCTACAGATGCCCAAAGCGGGGTCAGCAAAGTCATGGGCAGAAAACAAAGAAAAACATTTTTTGCTAACAGATCACTGGGCTGATCAGAAAGCTGAGGGGGCTTCCAACAGACCTGCTGGCCTCTGAAGCCTGGGGATGTTTTGGTCCTTCCTTTCCCCAAGGCAAATCTCACAGACAGTGAATGAGCTTTGTTACAGCTCAAGGGCCCTAAGTCAGCAAGCAAGGAGCGTGCTCCTTGAGGCAAGTTAACCTTCAGGGCCAGCTGCAAGGTTGCTAAAGGAGGTCAGCAGCTACTCTCACAAGAGACAGAGGCCCTGAGTTATTCTGCCACAACCCTCATCCACCCAGCTCTAAGGGGCCCCAGCCAGGACAGAGCGCTGACCCGATGAAAGAAAAATAAAGCAGCTCAGGAGGGTATCCCTTCACTGATTATGCAACTCCAAGCCCCCTTCCCTCCATCCGTAAAGCCCATGGCACATCCACGTGGCTGTAGTCAGGAGCAGGCCTGCTGAGGTTCAAATCTCAGCTCCCAGCCTTACTGCTGGGTGACAGTGGGCAGTCAATCAGCCTTTCTGGGCCTCGGTTTTAAAGTAACATCTATGTCTCAAAGATGTCAGGGTAATTACATGGGTTCATATATATATATGTACAGTGTTTGGTGTCAAAGAAGAAATCATTCTGCCACTTGTTAAAAAACGGTGAAGAAGACTATTTAGGACTATGCATTAGTTGCCCAAACTGTCAACAACAGCAAGAGAGATCAAGGTCAGTGCCAAACAGAACAAAGATGACTGGGGTCACAGCAGCGGGGCAGAGTGGGGCTCAGTGCGTGGAGAATCACCGCAGAGACGTCACGGGGTAATCAGGCATTGAGGGTGGGGAACCTTGCCAAATGCAGCAGGGTTATTGCCAAACTGGGGCTGGGCTGGCCAAGGGCGAGGCCAAGGATGAGGCCCAAGGATGAGGCCCAAGGATGGAGCCCAAGGATGAGGCCCAAGGATGAAGCCCAAGAATAAGGCCTCGTTGAAAAGAGGCTCAGAGGACCCCATCTCAAGTCCAGTCAAGAGGAAAGCCCACCATTGGAAAGAAAGTCTGGTAGATACTAAACACTTCATGAACCTTAGTAGTTATTGTCACATTTCAAAAACAGAACAGAATACTTCTAAAATCAATGTGTCAAAGAAGAAATACAAAGGGTCACCACACGACCATAAATAAAAAGTTCAACTTTACTATTAATCAAAGAGATCCAACAAGGTATCTTTATATATATATATATATATATATATAAAGATTCATTCCAGTGATTCATCTCTACATCCAACACCCAGCGCTCCTTCCAACAAGAGTCTTCCTTAATGACCCTCATGTTAATTTTCTTTGAATTTTGTTAATGTTTATTTGTTTTTGAAGGAGAGACAGAGCGTGAGCAGGGGAGGGGCAGAGAGAGAGGGAGACACAGAATCCGAAGCAGCTCCAGGCTCCAAGCTGTCAGCACAGAGCCCGACGCGGGGCTTGAACTCATAAACCGTGAGATCATGACCCGAGCCGAAGTCAGATGCTTAACCAACTGAGGCACCCAGGCACCCCGTCCCTCCTGTTAATTTTTAATAGCTCTCTTTGTATATGCGCATGTGCTAAAGGGAAATACATGAAGATGAGAGAAGAGCTCATCCCCAAATAGTAAAATCATGAATGATTTTTATTTCCTAATTTACACTTGTCCGTATCTCCTAGGTTTTTTATAAATAGGAAAACCCAGTTACTAAAAAAGAACAAAATCTCATCATTCTACTTTGACATTCAGCAGAAGCAAGCGCTGTAAGTCAATGGTTCCCTCCTAAGGGTCAAATATCCTGGAAAACGTTCCAGGTTCACCGCGTCCCTTTCGCTGGTGTTGTACCACATTCTGATACCTTGTCACCTAAGATACAGGCTGTTTTTGCCCTTGATCTGGTGTTTTCATTGGCAAGCAGTGAGACAAAGCAGATGAAAATGTTGAATACTGTTAACCTGGAAGCCAAATGTGGGCACTTGTGGTTCAAAGAACAATCCTCACTGTGCTCTGAACACAGGTGCAGCACTTGTGGGGGGCCTAGTCTCAGTTGCAGGGACAGGGCCCCATGGACAGAGGTAGGGGACGGCCCCCTGCGGTGCTTCCTCAGGAGGGTGGAAGGCATAGAAATCCACAGGCTTCGCTACCAGCTCTGCCACCTAATAGCTTTGTACACGTGTATGGGTGACTTCTGAAACCTACCCGCCCCGTACTGCCCCCATAGGGGTTCCTGAAAGACCTGCCCGACCCCCGCACATCTCTTCTGGGCTCATGGCTCAATAACACCCCAGTTTCCTTGTGGGCTGACCCCCTGCATGACCGCTGGCCCCCCAGACTTGAGCGGCTGGCCTATCCTTCTCCAAGTATTTGTTTGCTCAGACTCAGCTTCGCAGTGGTGCCGACCCAGCTACCCGATCTGACCTGCAGCCTGCCGCCCCTCCCCCCCAACACCCAGTGGAGCCAGTCCACCTGCCTTCTTTCTCCCACCTTCTCACACACCACGCCAGCTTCCTCGGTACTCACCCTCCCCCCCCACGAGGACCCACGCCCTGCGGGGAGGGGAGGTCTCAGACCAGTGCCCGCCCATGCTGGGCATGCGGTGGGTGGATGACCACGGTCACATGCTCCATGGCCGTGCACATAGGGTGCCCGGCACAGAGGGGTGCTCCACGTCCCTGAGCTGTAGGGGCAGCCAGCAGTCACCCTACCCTTCTCTGCTCAGCTTCCCCATTCCCCTCCCCCACCAGCGTGTGAGGTCAAGCCACATGTCCTCAAGCCCTGACAGATCCCCGTTGAGTTCCCGCAGCCCGCCCGCCCGCCTCCCTCCCATCCTTCTCACATCCCCCCACCCCCGCCTTCTCAGGACTCTCCTTTTTGCTCGAGTGGGAGCAGAGTTGGCTCCCATTTCTAGAAACCAGAGAACCGTAAAACTAGATTCTGCTTCTTCCTGTTTCTCTACCTCAATGCCTTTAGGGGTGATGAAAACCAAGGTGAGGAAATCCTGTCTTTAACTTACTAAGTGGACTGAGCCCCCTCGATGTGCTGGGGAGTGGTTCCTGCTCAATTACACCTGAAGGGTCACTTCCTAGAACTGAACATACACATGGCGCTGTCAGGCTCTGCCGACCGCGGAAGCCGTCAAGAGGCAAACAAGCTTCGGATTAAAGGTATCAGAAGCCCTGGCGTGGGAATGCTAATGACCAGCAGGAGCCGATGCCAAAGAGACAATGTCAAAAATCCCCCCGCCCTTCCCAGCACCCGTGGCACCCCCACTTAGAGTCTTGTTAGCCAAAGGACGTCACCTTGTTTGCGCATTTCTGGTTGCTACTGGCGCACCCGTGAACGGATATTTGAGCAAGCAGCTCTCCTGGGGTGATGCTGGGAAATCACCAGACGATCGTCTTGTCTGACCGCCTGACACCCCGGGAAAGATGAGTATGAAAGGTGATGGCAGAGTAAACAGGGCAACGCTTCCATCATGAGCTGGATCGGTACAACCTCGAGGAGGCGATGACCGCAGCCCCACTCAGGACTCTAACAGGTGAGAGGGGCAGTCGGAACAGGCGGGCCGCTGGATGGTGGTTTCGTCCGATTCTCCTGAAGCCTCTGCCTCGGCGTCCCACCTGCATGTAGATTTCTCCACGCGCGGGGATAGCAGCGCGTCAGTCCCCTCTGTGGGCAAGAACAGCTCCAGCTCGGGCAGAATACAGCCTGAGCCGGGGGGGGGGGGGGGGGGGGGGGGGGGGGGGGGGGGGGGGGCGAGGGGAGGCAGGTGTGGGTGGAGGGGAGGCTCCAGCAAGGCGAAGGTGATTTCTGCTTTCGTTGGCCCACGCACACCTGCCAGCAGGGAGGGCTGCTGGGGGCTGTAAGTCTGGAGTTTGCTCAGGAAGTAGCCGCAGATGACAATGTCCTGAAGGGAGGGCTGGGACGGCCCTCAGGTGCGGAGCCACACCCCTGTGCAGGACAGACACCCAGCACCGGCTCCTGGAATCACCAGGAAGACCCACTTTCTACAGTATGAGCTAAATATGAGTGACCGTATGAATACATGAGATTACAGGAGTGAAAAAGATCAAACGGGCTTCAAATCTTAGTTTGGGAGGAGTCAGTGACAACTCTCTCAGTCCTTCCACTCGCGGAAAATCAGGAGGGACTGGTCCAAACTGCTTCATCTCTAGAATTAAGTATCAATTATTTATTATTTGACAGAGAGAGGGGGAGAGAGAGAAAGAGAGAGAGAGAAAGAATCTTAAGCAGGCTCCATGCTCAGCACAGCACCCAATGCCAGGCTCCATCTCATCACCCAAAGATCATGACCTGAGTCGAAATCAAGATTCAGACGCTTAACCGAGCCCCCAGGCGCCCCAGAATTAAGTATCAATTTAAAGATGAACCACTTCTGTATTCAAATCCTAACATATTTAGGTCCAGATGCATAATGCCTGACGTGCTTCTGTTTAAATCTTATTTCTTTTTTTTTTTTTTAATGTTTTATTTATTTCTAGGAGAGAGAGAGAGAGACAGCGTGAGCAGGGGAGGGTCAGAGAGAGAGGGTGTCACAGACCGAAACAGGCTCCAGGCTCCGAGCTGGCAGTCAGCACAGAGCCCGACGCGGGGCTCGAACCCACGAACTGCGAGATCATGACCTAAGCGAAAGTCGGACGCTTAACCGACTAAGCCACCCAGGCGCCCCTGTTTAAATCTTTGCTTGCTTACAGAAGCCCAGAAAAGGGGAGACAAGAGAAAATTAAACTTTTCGACCAAGATCACAGTGATGACCGGGAGCCGTCTC